GTATCTCACGCAGGCTGCTGCCTCCAGTCAGACAAGCCCTATTTCACCTGTAGCCATGGCCCCCGATGGGACAGCAGAGCTGTGCCCCTTCCCAGGCGATGGCAGGAGAATGAGATGTCAGAAACAGGGCTCAGTGTGCTTGCTTCCCGGGAGGGGCTGAATGGATGCGGGAGTCCATGTGTGTGGGGAGGGAGGGAGACATGGGTGAGTGCAGGAATGAGATGCCTGGGCCCCCTGGCCTGTGACGTGTCCCCTCCTTGTGTGGTGTCCTCTCCCTGTGCCATGTACCCTCCCGGTGCTGCCTGTATCCAGCCAGGGACCTTGCCCTTCTCCCCTCTCCCAGGTCAGCCCCTGTGCACCACATGCAGAACTCAGCTTCATCTCTTGCTTCCATGCCACTGAGTTGTGCCTTGATGAGACCTACAAGGTCACCTGGTATATTTCCTGGAGCCCCTGTGTGGAATGTGCGGAGGAGATTGTGAAATTCCTGGCCAATCACCGCAATGTGTTCCTGACCGTCTTCATTGCCCGCCTCTACTACTACTGGGAACACACATTTAAGGAGGGGCTTCAAGCACTGGACAAGGGAGGGGTCCAGATGCACATGATGTGCCTCCAAGGTGAGAGGGGGGGCCGTGTGGGCTGTTCTGGGGACCCGGATGAGGGCCAATCAGGTGGAGGGTTGGGGCACAGGGGAGGATGAGCCCTTGGGCCTGCTTGGAAGGCTCAGGGGACAAGCCCTGTGTCCTCAGATGTGCTCGTCCTCTTTCATCTCAGACTTTAAAGACTGTTGGAGTCTCTTTGTGTGCAGTGAAACATTCAGGCCTTGGAAGGGACTTCGTAAATATTATCTGTTCCAGAACAAAACCCTGAAGCAGATTCTCAGGTGAGAGGTCACCTTCATTTCCTCCCCTCTGCCCTCTCCCTTCTGCCTGTCCTGCTCAGGCCTTCCCAGCTGAGGTCACATGGACCCCTCCCTGCCCAGCCCCACTCGCTCTCCTGCCACTGTCCCCACCACCTCCCTTTGCCTCCTCGGTCCTCTCAGAGCATCCTTTCTCCTGCCCCAGCCCCGAAGGCCCCCAGATCTGTGTCCTCCCACCATACCACCACCATAGTAACTAAAGGAGTGTATGAAAGTTGGAATATTATCTGTAGTCATGACAGACCACTGTAGGGACAGAGGACAAACTTCTGGGTCCTTCATCTGTTACCATTAAATGCGTGATTTGCCTTTACTTCTGAGGCAGCCAGAGACTTCAAAGTGATTGTTTGCTGAAAATTGTGACTCTTCACTTGGGCCTAGAAATTCCCAGTAGGTAACTAAAAGCAGAACAAAGCTTGACCTTCATTGTGTAAAACCCTGGTCAAATCCTTCTCAGCTCCGCATACAGGCATGTTAGTGGTTTAGGGAGCACCTGCCTTAAAGTTGGCACATCGAGCCTTATTTTAGCCCTAAATTTACCCAAGCCTGTCTTATCTCCCTTCAAGACTGAGGACACAGGGCCGAGGATTTAGCTCAGTGGTTCTGGTGCCTGCCCCGAAAGTGCAAGGTCCTGAGTTCGATCCCTGGTACCAAAAAAAAAAAAAAAA